TGAAGAGGTAGGAAATAAGTCTTTTTAACAGAGACTGAAGGCAGGAGACTGACAGAGTGCTCCTCCAGGCCAGTGAGGTGACAATGTCATAGGTGAGGACCTTAACTGTGGAATGCTCCACAACTGGAAACAAGAGAGGACTGTTAGCCTGAAAACCACAGAATCCCAGACTGGTTTGTGTTGGAAGGGATCTTAAAGCTCATCCAGTTCCAATCCCCTGCCACAGGCAGGGACACCTTCCACTAGACCAGGCTGTTCCAAGCCCCATCCAACCTGCCCTTGAACACTGCCAGGGATGGGGCAGCCACAGCTTCTCTGGGCAACCTGTGCCAGGGCCTCAGCACCCTCACAGGGAAGAACTTCTGCCTGAGATCTCATCTCAGTCTCCCCTCTGTCAGGTTAAAGCCATTCCCCCACGTCCTGTCCCTACAGGCCCTTGTCCAAAGCCCCTCTCCAGGTTTCCTGTAGCCCCTTTAGGCACTGGCAGCTGCTCTAAAGTCTCCCCTTAAGAAGCCTTCTCCTCTCCAGGCTGAACAAGCCCAGCTCCCTCAGCCTGTCTCCAGAGCAGAGCTGCTCCAGCCCTCACAGCATCCCTGTGGCCTCCTCTGGACTCGCTTCAACAGCTCCATGTCCCTCTTGTGTTGTTGCCCCAGAGCTAGACACAGGAGTGCAGGTGGGGTCTTCTTAGTGTACAGCAGAGGGGGAGCATCCTCTCCCTCAACCTGCTGCTCACGCTCCTTTTGATGCAGCCACAGGGGTGTTCTGGGCTCAAGATGAAGCTGGGTCATGGGGATCTTCTTGTCAACCAACACCCTGAAGTCCTTCTCCTCAGGGCTGCTCCATTCAGTCTCCCCCAGCCTGTGTTTGTGCTTGGGATTGTCCTGACCCAGGGGTAGGACCTTGCCTTTGGCCTTGTTCAGCTCCATGAGTTTTGCACAGTCCCACCTCTCCAGTGTGTCAAGGTCTCTCTGGATCTCATCCCTTCCCTCCAACATATCAACCAAACCACATAGCTTGGTGTTATTGGCAAAATTGCTGAGGGTGTTCGATTCCACTATCCATGTCACCGACAAAGATGCTCAACATGGTTGGTCCCAACACTGACCCCTCAGGGACACCACTCATCACTGATGTCCACTTGGATATTGGGTCATTGACCACAGCTTTTTGAGTGCAACCATCCAGCCAATTCCTTATCCACAGTGGTCCATCCACCAAACCCATGCTTTCTCCCATTTAGAGACAAAGATGTCATGGAGGACAGTGGCAATTGCTTTGCACAAGTCCTGGTAGATGACATCCTTTTCTCTTCCCTTATCTAACAGTGCTGTAACCCCATAGTAGAAAGCCACCAGATTTGTCAGGCACAATTTACCTTTAGTGAAGCCATGTTGGCTGTCACCAATCAGCTCCTTATTTTCCATGGACCCTTTGCCAGTCCATGGGAACTCTACTGGACTGCCATGTCTTCTCAAATATGCTGGATAGTGGAATAGCCATTTCATCAGTGGTTCCCTCAGGACCCACAGATACATCTTATTGGGTCCCATGGACTTGTGCATCTTTGGGTTCCTTAGATTGTCTCAAAACTGATCTCCCACAGGGGGTGGTTCTTCTTTCTCCCAGTCCCTTCCTTTGCCTTCTGTTACCTGAGCAGTGCGGCTGGAGCACTTGCTGGTGAAGACTGAGACAAAAAAGTTACCATGTCCCAGGTAACCAGGTCTCCTATTTCCTTCCAGAGAGGGCCCACATTTTCCCTAGAGCTCCTTGTATCACCAATGTACCTATAGCAGCTTTTCTTGTTGCCTTTGACGTCCCTGGCCAGGTTTAATTCTGCCAGGGCTTTAGGTTTCCTAACATGATCTCTGGCTGCTTGGGCTGTTTCTCTGTATTCCTCCCAGGCTACCAGCCCTTGCTTCTACTCTCTGTGGGCTTCCTTTTTTGCTGGAGTTTGTCCAGGATTTCCCTGTTCATCCATGCAGGCCCCCGGTTGTTCTTGCCTGACTTCCTTTTTGCTGAGATGCATTGACTCTGAGCTTGGAGATGTTCCTTGAATCTTAACCCTTTCTTGGGCCCCACTTCCCTCTGGGGTTTTATCACAGTTATGCGGCTAAGCAGATCCCTGAAGAGACCAAAGTCTGCTCTCCTGAAGGAGGAGTAGCAGGGAATGATGCTAGACAACCCTGCCTGGTAAAGACTAAATGACAGAGGGAAAGTCTCTTCTCTGATAAGGATGAATGCCTTGTTCTTGTTGGAATAATATGGCAACAGTAAGAAGATGGGTAGTGCTGGACAGATAGCTTCAGCTGGAGCTCCAGGTCTCATAGAAGATGCCTGACCTGGGAGCTGTCTCAGCACTGCAAGGGATACTTTTTAGGATTACGTATACCACACAGGACACCTGCTTTAAATGGGAAATTGTGTGATGATAACCTTTTGCAAGAAGTCATTGAACTATGACACTAGCATGGAATGAATCCTTGAGATGTGGAGAAAGTGTGAAGGTGGAACTCTCACAGTACCCCTCCTCTGGCTGAGGGGAAAGAACCACAAGGACAGAGAATGGATTTGCTATGGCTTGCTTTTTCTGTATTGTTGTTGTTTCATGTCTACAATGTTTAATTATTGAAGTTTATTCATTCATTTTTGTAACTAAGACATTAATGAATTATGGCAAACATTTTAATTACTTAACAATGCTCTAATCAAAAGCTTCGACAACTGTATCTGAAATGCAAGTTGTTTCTCCAGTTTGATGGCCATTTATTTCTCTCTAGTGAGTGTTAAGGGAAATGCAAGCAAGAGACTGTGGCATAATCTGAAATAGGCACTACTCACAAACAAACTGGGAGCTCCTGTAAATCCCATTTATGCTGAATGTCTGAATATGAGATCTTTTTCTGAAAAAGCTGGCTCATGAGATGTGACCAAGAGGCAGTTATTCCTGAACTAATTCTGAGTGCAAACACAGACAAAAGATGGTGTTCCAAGCAAATATTCCTTCTGCAAAAGCTTTATATTAAAAAAAACTCCTCTCATTGCTCTGATTGCTCTCACTGTCATTCATTGGTATACTAAGGGTAATGCTGCCAGTATCTGAATGTGGACTGTTTTAGTACTGCAATTCTCAGGAAAAGACTGAAATAAAATCTCTCACATTAAATACTAATGTTCCTAAATCTAGTAGCATTTCATAAATTTATTACAGATTATCCAAATGCTGGCTTATGCCATTACTCATATAAACACACTGTAGGAATTATTCACCTGTTCCTCTGTAAATGTCTTACAGTTGTCCATATAAGACATTAAAGCAAGAAATACAAACCAAAACATATGAGCACATTGATAATTCAGCAGTAGTCACATCAAGCTATACCATTTTATTGTTCTTATATTACAAAGAATCAACCTGGAAATAGTTTTCTGCCGTTTAAATCATTGTCCAAAATCTTTGACAAGATCTTGTAGAACATCAGTGGCCTTAATCTAGTGGCATTGTATGTATGCAAGAAATACAAATAGCTAACTTTTACAACTTCTGCTGGCTGAAATGCTACCTCATTTAAACTAATTCTGCCAGAAAGTTCAGTGTAGCTAGGAGTTCATTAAGTGGAGTATAAACAATATGCCCACTTTGACCCATCCTCGACAGAAATGAAAAATTAAGACTTATGCATACCCCCATTAAAGCATCAGTTTGTTTTTTTAAATGACAGGGTTTATTTTATAGAATAAATTTTATATTATTTACATATGATGAATACAAAGCAAGAGAAGAGAAGCTCAGACAGAGGATTTTCAGTGCCGCAAGTGTGCTGTTAATAGTGAACAGTTCCTATCCAAGCCCCTATTTACCCAACTAAAATGACCTCTATAACATGCACTCTTCCACAACAGCAATGTTGAATGTATGAAAATTTAGTAATATATAATTTTCCTAAGCACTAAAGAGCAATGTCAATGCTATTGCACTGCATCTGCACAGAGCTGATGATCTGCATGGTTAGATCCTAGCCCACAGCAGAAATGTGATTACAGGTTGTTGTCAGCTCTCAAACAAAGTATTGCTAAATTTTCCAAGCTTTAAAAATATCCCGCTGTAAACTACATTTTATCTGCAAGGTTAGGTCTCATTAACAACCTCACAAATCCAAGCAGATAGGAATCTCTAACTTGTCAAACGAACAACTGCGTCTCACAGAGCAAGGTCAAACACACTTCCAGCTTTTAAATTAGTATTATATAGGCTGTGTCTTCAATTGAACCTGATTTTATATTCTACAGAAATATGCTACCTGTGGCTTTAAGGAAATCTGATAATAAAACATGAAAGTTTGGTAACAGCTTTATGTATTTTAGATTACTTTCCTACAGAGACAGGAGATTTTACTGTTACACTGACAACTGCGTCTACTTTCTGGAATTATTACACATTAAGAAAAGTTTTGATATATTATTTCATGTGCTCATTATGATTTGTGATTCATTAATAAAAAAGCATGGCTGAGTATTTCCAAAACAACAGAAATCTCACATTAACGTTCTTGGACACTGTAAATAATTTGCTACATAAACAAGTGTCTGATTGCACTTAGCTGTACCTTTCATTGATGTACTTCTGTAAAACCTTCTTGACTACATAACAGTTATATATTTATTCAAAGATCTATGATAAATTTCCCAGTTTGCACCATAGTTTTTTTTTTTCCAGCTCCTACCTATCATGTCACCAACTACTTAAAGCCAAAGAGAAAAGAAAATTAAAAACAATATATGCTACAAGGAGACAAGAGAAGTTAAATCCCCCAGGAAGCAAAGAAGAAAAAAAAAGTGGGCTATATAAAATAACAGCAGCCATATACCTGCAACCATATCTTGCCATGGAAGGGTTAAAATGCATTCAGAACCAAATGTATTATTAACTAATTTATTAATAATATAATTATTTATTTAAAAATGTAAACAAACAATATGTTCCTGGGCACAAATCGACATACCTGAAGAGACACGGGGGCAGTCTGGTAGCATGGACTCCACCAAAGTGTCCAGGGGCTCGGAGCTGGACACCCAGTTGCAGCAGTTCTGTAAGAGCAGGCAGGCAATTTTGGGGTAAGCCAAGAACTTGGAGCAAATATAAATACTGACTTTTAAAGTAAGGACAATGATTGAACCAAAATACTTCTAAGTAATTTACACGGGATTCCCAACAGCAACTGGAGAAGGTACACTAACTTATTCACACTAACTGGTGATGAAATATTGTAGCTACATACTAAATAAGTAAACGGAGTAAGACCATAATTCAGGAGATTTGTAATGTGCTTAAATAGCATGTCTTTAAGTGTTATTTTGAGTGCCAGCAGACTTAAGTAGGTGCTTGGACAAACCGGTGCCTCAATTACCCACTGCACATTTTAAGTGTTTCCTTTCTGTAGTTGTCAAATAGGTGTTCACATAAACACTGAGCCTGCTTGCTTGCCAACATTAAGAAATTAGAATTTTTCAGGGTGTTTTGAAGGAAAGAATGATTGCAAAATCACAGAACAACAGATTATAAATGAATGAAAGCCGTCAAGATAGCAGATTAATATTCAAATAATTGGAAATACAGATGAGATGAACTGCACATGAACATTTAAAAATGCAAATACGAGTCTTTGGGGAATTATGCTCAGGAAACATTTACATTTACCTTCCATTCCTGAACCTCTGAGTAGGATGAATTTACCACGAATTTTTAAAATGTTTTGCTCCAAGTACTATCTATTCAGAGGAGTCTATGAACTAAAGCATTAGATAATACACTTTTAATGAAATATGCTGAATTTACACCAAATCTACCGAATTAAAGATTTAAATATAAAGCAACTATGTTTTTAATAGGATTGCCAGCTGAACTACAAGATCTACATGATCTATCTACCTTCTTACAAATCTGATTTTTCTCTTTCTGTTAACCTGATTAACTTCATTAAGGAGAAGAAAGGAAAAAAAAAACAACCCAACAAAACTCACAACTTTTTGGAAAGAGCCAATGAATTTTCAGACAGATTTCTACAAAATCATTCCATCAATCATGATTGCAAAAATGGATGATTGCTATTCTGGTAAACAAGTAAGTATTGTGTATTTGTAGATGCTTGCTGCCCTAGTTGTGCACCGTGGAGTCCTCGCTGTGGAAAGATCCTTGACTGGTAGATCAAGTGTCTTATTGTATTTCCTTAATTCATTCTGTCTGGAAGAAGATGTCAGCTGTGTTGCAGTGAGGAGAGAATTTCAAAGCCTTCAGTCCCCACCAATAAAGGGCAAGGAATGGCTTTTGAATAGATTTGTCAAGGCAACCCTACTGTTCTGGGACCAGGGAGAGCAGGAACAACATAAAGAAAGGGTTGCTGTATGAGATTAGAAAGTGAAGTTCACAAAGCATGGCAGATTTCTGTAAGAAACAGCAGATCAATGAAACTATTGAATTTGATGAAAAAAAATGAAAACAACAAACACACTACCCTGTGATGTAACTTCTTTTAGTAAAAAATGTTTAAAATGGAAGTATTTCACAAAGGCGTTAAGATTTAAAGTAGTAAAGCTTTATACATTTTACGATTTGCATGTATAATTTTAATTAACAGCTGAATGTGAAATGGCAAATGTAAGATGGTAGTAATTATAAAAGAAGTAGAATTTTTATGAAGTATTACATTAATTTGAAATAAGTAGAATTAATATTAACTACTGGTAGAACACTACATCAGAGATCTGGAGATAATACAGATGATTAGCACACAATTAAACAGCTTTTATATACAATGTGACACTTGCTGGTAAGAAATAAGTATTCTCGAAAGCAGTGTCAAGATATGTAAATGGATGATTTGTTTTATCATTCATCACAGCTCCTAATAAATTCAAAAATCATGACTTCTATAGGTACTAAAAATAGGCCACCAATGATACAGGAGAGATAGCTCCAATGAAGAATTACTTTCTTAACAGTTCATTCTTTCTATGACAGCAATTAGCCCTACAGACAGGCAGCGATTAGGTGTATATTTTAATTATTATTCATTTTACCAGTAGCCTTAAACCTGATTAAAGTAAGATACATCCAGGTGATAACACTAGTTTTCATACCACTCAGCCACACTTCACATATGTAAAATACTTCTTCCTTATAGGAGATTTTCAATGCTAATGTAAGTTATGACACTCCGTCCACTTTTTAGGCCATTAATCATTTAACTTATTCTTTAACATCTACTTTCTGCAAATGAAATTAAAGGTAATGCACTTGTCTTATTCAGAGTAAATGCTTAAAGAAAAATGGAGTTGTCAGATTCAAATTACAGGATTTAAAATTTCAGTTTTACTACATAACATATATTTTAAGGTTTTGATTTCCCATAAAGAAAATGAGGATTTTACTGACAGAGCCTGTAGGGGTTACCATTCTTTATATTTTTAACATTTAAGTCAGAGCTGTCAGGCTGCATCTCGGGTAATTCTCTAGTCCCATCAATCATGGCCTATAAAGCTGTAAGGTTAAGTCGGGAATATGCAGTCTATACACAAAGTTTCACTAAATACATCCAAAAAAGTAAAGTCTAACAAGAAATTCAGGATGTGACTAGTTTAAATTTGCCACGTGCACCTATTGCTTTAGCATTCTGCAACAGGAGTGCAGAAAACACAGACATGAGCCTCATCTGGCGAGGGAGAGAGTCATGAAGGGAAGTTTAGTTGGTCTGACTTTAAAAAGTGTTATTTTTAAAATCTCAGCAGCCCCACACTTAAGTATTATATGAATAATGAATGCATGGCATCATCCTTTACAGAAGGGTGGAACTTGTTTTTTGCTTACCATCAACCAATGCATGATCATCTTGGACCAAGTAGCTGTTGGTAGCTAAGCAGTGGCAAATACTCTGACTTTTCATAAGAAAACCTCAGAGCACTGCGGAAGTAATTACATCTCATAAAACTGCTGAGAGAAAGGATTTTTTGCCAGCTGTGCAAGTCATCAGACTGAGACATGGAGCTTTTCCATCACTGACAGATAAAGCCAGGAGCACTGGGTGCACCCAGTACTTTGCTCCAGATACCAGGCAGCACGTGGGCTGCCTTGGTATATGTTTCTATATATGTCTCTATATTGCTGTGCAGCAGGAAGAAACACTGGACTTGATTCTTATTATTTTGGCTGCTTTGAAGTTCAGAATGGCTTTAATCTCAGTTATTTTAGGGGCTGGTATGGGCACAAGATTTTCAAGGTCCTGTAATGTGCTGTCTTTCATACACTAAAGAAATAGATCAGAAGATAAAGACATGTTTATAGAGCCGTATTCAGATGTGTATACCCCAACTCCTAAAAAAACCACAAGCCTCACCTCTCGCATCCACTCTCGAATAGATTTCCCAGCTTCTTGATGCCACACGTTGTGAACAGAGTCTGTCAACGCCACAGCAGTTACCTTATTCTTTACTTCTGCCTCTCGTTGAATCATCTGTTAAAAAAACATTGGCTTTAAGTTCTTTCTTTCTATTGAATAGAGTCTGCTTAGTCACAGATAATGATCTTAAATTAAAAAAGAAAGAGCAATACAGGTTCAATACTTGACTTCATTTGTTTTTAAAGTTTATACAAATCCTAACAGTTCCAGAAACGCAGAAAGACCTAATATTTTTGATAAAAGAAATAATACTAACTTTTAACTGACTGAACTATTCAGTCCTATTATTTTCCATGTGGCTTGACAATTCTAGGATTAAAGGTATCATGTGAAAAAATGGAAGATTCCCTGAGGACACCTTTTACAAGCTTCTCCAAGTTCCTATTTCTCTGCTTCAGGGAAGCTGGTACCTGTGGTTCACTGTAAGCTACTCATGACTATCATCTGCTAATTTTCAGTAGATTGCTGTAGTTTTTCTGATGTACAATCTTACTATGACTTGTATGCTTTTTTTTCTTTTTCTATCCAATTTATCTACCTTGCAGTCCCACCACAATCCCCAAATTCTTTGTGGTCTCTTATACATATTCTTACCCATCTAACGCTGAAGCCTCTCAACATTTTTAGGATATTAAAGAGCCTCTGTTGTTGCAAATGACAGTATAACTAAATAATATTAGTTCTAAAACCAACTAAATAATTGCTGCAAATAACATGATTGAACCAACAAAGATGCTGTGGAATTCAGTGCTGCTCTGTAAGATAAAAAGGACTGTGAAAGAACAGTTTGATATCAAAGACAGACAAAAAGGTTTTAATCTTCTGTCATGAGTGACCCTAATTTGTAACACTGGATCAAAGAAAGTATAATGAATTATAAAGCCAGCATTTCACAACTAGTGTCTCTATCACTGTGTATGCTGCACTAAAGTTAATGTTGTTTTTTGTTTTGTTTTGTTTTTTTTTCCAGCTTCCTATTGAACAAATGCCAACACACACAAAAAAACAGGCATTCTTTGCACATGCTCCAGTAACTGCTTATCAGCACACAGGCTACACCTTTGAAAACACTGGCCTAAAAGAGACTTTTACAATGGGGATGTGAATTGTATCTTGCATCAGAAGCTTCAAAATAAACACCTCAATCCAGATTTTTGATATATAAGGAACATTTATCCATACCTTATCTAATCATTCTCCTATTTTTTTTTCAAAATATCACATAAGTAAACTCTTCTGACCACCCTTACTCCCAAATCCACCTAATTGCAGTATGACATTCTGAATTACTGTCTTGCCATTTTTTTGATCCCATTATATATATTTTAAAATCAGTGTAATTGTATTAATATTAATTAATAAGGGAAAAATATTCACTGCCATCAGCGAGGCAGCGCCAATGCAGAGTTCCCCATTCTAGATAAAATCAGGTGTCTGCATTCCCCAGTACTTTGGTAATTGCAGAATTACAGGACTCAGGAATTCAGCTGAGCTTAGGATGTTTTGGGCAAGTGCACATGAAGGAACTCTTAAAGTAATCTTTCTTCATGTGAAGCCTTTCAGGCATATCATTTTTTCCATCATTTACCTTCCTGTGGGGCACATTTAATATCTAGACTTTTTGGAAGATGGGTACATGCACGGGGAACAAAATCACACATTTAGGACAAAATATCATCTAGTTTAAGAGGCTAAGCTTCATTCAGCTGTAACACAATACTGACATTTCCAGCCAAACATTTGATACTGAGCTCTAAATTTCACTGCAAATGTAAAGATGGCAAAACTCCCTCTGTTATATGACACAGTACGTAAGGATAATGAATCTCAGGAGGATCTTCAGGCCACTGCATGAACCACCAGCGACTGGTGGTCACTGGAGATGAAATCCCCTGAGTTACAGAGGCAGGTGGGGTCTCAAAACAAGGGTTTTTACTGATGTTACAATCCCTTCTCCCAGCCTCTATGGCCTTCTATTCAGTGGTAATTTTGTCTCTTTTAAAGGGCTGAGTCACTCAGACTGTCTACCAAGGTGCAGCAGGCTGTTCTGTTTTGTACTATTCTGTTTTGTGCTATTCTGGTCTGTGCTATTCTGTTTTGTGCTATTCTGGTCTGTGCTTTGCTGTTCTGTTCTGTCCTGTCCCGTCCCCTGTCCTGTCCCATCCCCTGTCTTGTCCTGTCCTTTCCTGTCTGGTCCCCTGTCCTGTCCTGTTCTATTCTAAATTATGCCATTCTATTCTGTTCTACTCTATCTATCCTTTCCTATTCTAACTCTGTTCAGTTCCTTCCCTATCTCTATCCCTATTCTTATTTTATTTCTACTCTATGCTGTTATATTCTAAAAGCTGTTTATATTCTAAATGCTGTGATTTAAAGCAGCAAATGAGCAAAAATATCATTGTCCTTGCAGCGCACATACCTACCAATTAGTCAGAGTTATTACATGCTAGGGAAAGCTTAAAACTGTCACCAGCTTGCTGTGTTCCAGCACGACTTCCTCCATGAAGGGCTGGTCTTCGGAAGCACTGCTGATGACCAGCAAGAGGAAATAATATGCTCTGCTTTGGAAAACCAATCTTTTCTCAAGCCATTGTGTCCCACATTTCTGTTTCAAAAACCAGCCACCCAGTTCATCTAAGAACATCACCTTTTTCTTCAAATCACAAGGAAATACAGATGTGCAGTTCCCTTCTCCCTTCCTAGACCTAGCTCAGGGCTGCTATTCTCAAGTTGCCTGTGCACATCAAAGGACTGGCAGCCATTGATCACCATCTCTTCCTAGTCTTTCTTCACATGGTATGTGCAGTCTTTGCTTTTCAGATCATATCTGATATGGGGAATAATATGCAGTACCCTACACGCTGCTGGTTGTTGCTGCTCAGCTGGCAGGTGCCCACAGAATGCACTGATCTTTTCACAAGCATCAGCAAAGAAACTGAGACTGGAAATGCGAGGTTTTTTGATAACTCAGCCACAGTGCTGGGGTCAGGACCAGGGCTCATGGATGCAGCAGCAAAGAGGGATCAAAGGGATTAACTGAGCTTCAGCTACAGATTTCTCTACATCCAGTGCAGAAGAAGTAACTTTGGCAGACACCCATGCTCTTATGAGCAAACTTGGGAAGAAAATAGACAAAACCATCTACATCAAGTAGAGAAAGAATCAAGGGGATAACCTTCATTTAAACAAGAAGCCTAATGCGTCCATCTTTAAATGACACAGAAATGTCACAACAGAGGGTGTCAGACACAGGATGCTTTGCTTCTACAACAACAGCTCAAGTTCTGTGCTACAACAAGATGTTAGCTGATAAGAATAACCAAACACAACAGATCCATTTGATGCTCAAGCAGGAGACCTTCTTACAGGGGATGGTAAGTTATTTTGTGAGAATACGCAAGAAGCCTACGTACTTTTGGCCACAGAAATGTCAATGCTCAGTAAATTCTTCAAATTCAACAGATTGATTGCTCACAGTTAAAACATACTTATCTTTTCTAAAATTAATTTTGAATTCACATAAATTTTGAAAATTCAGCGAGCAGAATAGAACTGTTAGAGTAAAATATATTGACAATTAATGTTCACCCAGCAGCCATTCAGATTTAATGCAACTAGAGTTGTACCAAATTCCAAGGGAATGATGCTATGGGATGCATGATTTACACTTCCCAGGACTAGTTTTATTCCATGCAGCCAGTACAGGCATTGAAAGTAGACATGCTAAACCTGAAGATATTTAATGGACAACAGACTATTTACAATAGTATAAATTACATTTGTGCTTTGTACTGAAGCAACAACTGCAAACAAAGACATAAGGATTTTGTCTAAAGTTCATTTTACACCTTATGCTTTTTGTACAACAGTGTATTCCATAGACAGGAAGTTTTCACAGCCTTGGAATTACTTAATTTCCTGCTTAATAAGCATTCTACTGCTAAACTGTCTGTACAGTGGGATGGCTGTCCTCTGTAAGTTTGCATTACACAATTATCATTACTTTATAATGACAAAAGGCTGATACTTTTATTATCCGTAGTGTATGCATATAAAACATAGAGTCATATATATGCAGTATATTTAATGTGTATATAAACATAACCTCATACATATATTACATATGCAGTATATTTAGTGTATGTATATGTATATATCTAGAATAGGTGATAAAATGCATCTTTGTGTGTGTTTTATAGCATCGCACTCTTGTCAATGAAAGCATTAATATACTAAGAGGAGATTTAAAGGCCTGATCCTGCAAACATGAAAATCCATGAATATCACAGTTAGACTTCTGGCAAGCAGCCTGTGGAAGTAACTCTTTGCAGCATTGATTACATGCTCTTTATACTTACTTTAATAAATTTAAACCAGCTAAAACCTCAAACTTCTGAGAAACGTAAATGGAAGTTAAAAGATGCTTCTTATTTTTATGGGCTCAGACAAACAAATCAACATCCATCACTTCATATTTGGAGGATACTTACTCTTCTGAGTTGCCTGCAATTAGGAATGAGAAAAAATGAACTGAAAACCAAAAATCTTCAACTTTCTTTTTGGCTTTTGAAAAGGTGTTCATCTACTTTCCCTGTCTTCCACCACATTTTCAGTTGCAGCATGGTGTTTACACAGTATGCACAGGGCTTGAATGGGCATGTTTACAACAAGCATTTGGCTTGGAGCATGACACAAGTTCTTCATTGTCTCCAGTTTCCTCCTACTGGTGTGAAACTAAGGTTTTGGCTTCTGCAAACCGAATTCCTTTCAGAGGAAACTGAATTGGAAACCCCTGTCCAAATATCCTCAATGATTTCCTGAAGTGAAATCAATTTACAGTAGACATTCTGGTGGAGCAAAATGGCACCAGCTGGGCTCTGAAGTATCGGTAAATGCAGTGGTAGATAGGAAGAGAGAAGAAATCACAGGTCAGGAATAGTGTGTTAGAGGTCAACTTTTACTTCATGCTTTTGGAAGGATGTGTGGATTCCTTCTTGACAACTACACAGGCTCTTCTCTGAGCTTGGTACACGTCTAGAGTAACTCAAGATCCT